GTGCAGTGGCCAGATCTCAGCTCACTGCAAGCTCCGCCTCCCGGGTTCACGCCATTCTCCTGCCTCAGCCTCCGGAGTAGCTGGAACTACAGGCGTGTGCCACATGTCCGGCTAATTTTTGTGTTCTTAGTAGAGATAGAGTTTCACCATGTTGGCCAGCCTGGTCTCAAACTGCTGACCTCAAGCAATCACCTGTCTTGGCTTCCCAAAGTGTTGGGATTACAGGTGTGAGCCACTGAGTCCAGCCTGTATTTACTCAAGATTTAATAATAAAAGTCAGTTAACAAATGGAGCTCCCTAGGTAATTCTGAGATGGACTGGTATTTAGAAATCACGGCTGTAGTTTCTACTTCCCTAACATCTGTTATATCTTTTCTCTATTTTCTGCCCCACTGCTGTTCAAATTCTTGCCTTCTTTATTCACCTGACTATTGCTGGTAATCTTGCATCTGTTCTCCATGCTGGCTGGTGCAATGCTCTAACATGCACCTGCCTGCTTAAAATCCCTCAATGACTTCGATTACCCACAGATAAAGTCCAGTGGTCTGGCCCTGCCTGCCCTTCCAGCTTTTTCTTTTGCCATTCACGTCTCACACCTGAGCTGCCTTTCCTGAAGTTCTATCAAGAGACTTGTCTCTCAGCCATCATTCATGTTGTTCCCTCTACTTGGAATGCTTTTCCTCTTTTACGCCTTGTCTATCTGGTGGACACCCACTAATTCATCTTTCAGAACTGACCTGAAGGCTCTCCTCTGAACCCTTTCCTCATCCCTTCCTTCCTTTCCCTCGTCTTGTCTAGTGAGAGTACTCGGGGGGTTGTGTTTGTCGGCCTCCGGCAGATGAATCTAAAGGCGAGGACAGTGTCTTGGTTTTTTGTTTTTTTTTTGAGACGGAGTCTTGCTTTGTCGCCCAGGCTGGAGTGCAGTGGCCGGATCTCAGCTCACTGCAAGCTCCGCCTCCCGGGTTTATGCCATTCTCCTGCCTCAGCCTCCCAAGTAGCTGGGACTACAGGCACCCACCACCTCGCCCAGCTAG